CAGGATTATCTTCTGTGTCTGTGTTAATTGTTTTCCCTTTTCTTTGTTGAAGAGGGTCTGTGCAGTCTTTCTGCCTAGTCCACCATCTTGCCGGACCTTTTGTCTTTTCTTATAAACTTTAGATCAGTTTGTCAATATCCATGAAGTAGCTTGCTAGAAATCTAGTTGGAATTGCTTTGATCTAGTTTAAATTGCAAAGAATTACAGCCAGCACCACAAAGTGTCTCTTGCATGAGACATCTATCTAAATTCAACAGCATATTCTAGGAAGGAGGTACAAAAGAACAGCTGGAGGACTATGCCATGGTAGGTTGGCAATTAAAATCCTAAAGAGCAGGTAGGGAAATAACCAAATGCACTGACTAGTTTATAGGCTACTATTTAGCGCCCTACACCAAAACCAAACCAAAATCACTACCATCAAGACAATTCAGACCCATAGCAACCCCCTTTGGGTTTCCGAGGCAGTAAATCTTTACAGAAGTAGATTGTCCAGTCTTCCTTCCGTGGAGTGGCTACTGGGTTTGAACCACCAACCTTCTGGTTTGTGGTCAAATGCCTTAGGCACTACGCCATCAGAGCTCCTTTAGTGCCTAGAGTATATCCTTTATACACTCTCAAGCCTGTCTCAAATTCAAGTAAAGTAAAAGCTCACTAAAGCTCTCCTTGTATCAGCTATCCGGAAAGCCCACAAGGACAAACTACTGACCTGTGTCTGATTACAGCAGGCTTCCTCTAATTGAAAGACATTCAACAGATACTTTGATCCTTTAAAAGGGGCTTACAAAACCCAGTTAATGATTTAGGAAGAAAATGAAAGATCCATCCTACCTGACCCCTTACACAAAAACTACAAACTGGGCAAATATTTAAACATAAGAAATGAAATTGTAAAAGCCTAAAAAATAAAACCCAGAGAAGTTATACTACCAAAAACTTAAAGTAGTAAAGCATGAATTCTAAGGCTCAAATCTCACCTCTACTGTTTACTAGCTCTGTGCCTCTGGGCAAATTCTCTATGCTTCAGTATCCTTATCTGTAAAATGGGTGTAACAGTGCTACCTCAGAGTTTCTGGGGAATAAGCTATAATCAGAGATAAACACAGGCAGAACTAAGAAAGTTAAAGCCCACAGTACATGCAGGGCTAGGAGGCAAGGCTGGCTGCAAGAGGAAGCACTGTAAAAAGACAACATGGAGACGAGAAATGGAGCAACACATGGCACGAGTGCATCAGCCAATTCTGGGAGCTCCAGAGCTTTAGGGCCTGCTCCTCCCCAACCTCTGCACCGCCTATGGCATCCTTGGCCTCGTTTTTTCATTATTGTTGTAATGATATATGTAACACAACATTTGCTCGGTCTCAATTTTACAAGTAGGCCTGAAATCTTTTGCCATGATACTCAGGATAAGCTGATAAAAAGAGCATGCTGAAACACCAAATGGTAGGATCAGTCAGGGAGGCAACGAAGGGCTCTATGACAGAATTATTTACACAGGATGTTTATGGAGTCTTACACATTTATCGTGTAGTCAGCAAGATGTAATTATGTTTACAAGTCATTTTAAAAGGCATCCAGTATCCTACTAACTCTAAATTTCTCCAGGAACATCAAACCCATTGTCACTGAGTCAATTCAGACTCATAGTGACCCTACAGGACAGAGTGGAATGGCCTGATTACATTAGATTTTGAAGCGAAAACAAGCATCAAGAACATTTACCCTTACAAAGCAGCAGTTGCCCACCCCTCTTCCAAATGAAGAAAAGATCCGGTGTCAAAATGTCATACGTACCTTGCAACCTTGACCATCTTTGGATTATACTGCTTGACCAAGGAAAGCAGAGTTTGCATTGTTTTGCCAGTGTCAATTATATCCTGAAAAAGAAGACATTTAAACCGTACACAAAATCCTCGGGGCTTTAAATTCAAGGTCATTATAACACCAAAGAGCCACGTCTAACAGAGTAACACTGTTTGTTCAGGGCAATATTCTCACCAAAATTCATATACCAAGATAGTCTGGAGTCTGTAAACGCTCTGGTCCTCAGCAAATCATAGGAATGCCAGTTCCCAGGACTGGATTTTATAGACACAAAGAAGCCAATAACAGCAAATTTGAATACATGCATGTTTTCTTTGTTATGCTGCTGTCCTTTGTTACTAAAGGTATTTTAGATTTTTTCCCCCATCAATTCAAGATAGGGGCTCTTTCTCCTCAACTCTCCAATGCAGGTGGTTAACAGACCACACTTTGAGAAACACTGTTTTATACCATCTTAAAAGGTCGGAAGGAAGGTTGGGCAATCCTACTTCCGTAGTGATACTGCCTTGGAAACCCAAGGAGGGGTCGCTATGAGTCGGGGCCGACTCGACGGCACATAACAACAACAACAACAACAACAAAAGGCATCCAGTATCCTACTAATTCTAAATTAGTAAGGCTTTACTATACAAAATGACTTTACATGAAAGTCAATCTCAGCTGTTCAGTCAAAAGCAGGGCATTATTCAAAACAAACCTATCTTTCATGGGGAAAATCTTTCTTTAACTGTAACCCTAATGCTCTTCCATGAAAATACTCTTTCAAGAAGGGGTAGCACCATGCTTCCCAAAGTGGGGTCTGTGTGGCACCCAAACCATTAGGGTTGGGCTTACAAAAAATGCAGATTTCTGGGCTGTGATGGACACAATTCTGAGATGGCTCCCGAGATTCCCACCTTCCTGGCACACTACCTGGAACATCCCCTCCCCCGATACGGCTGGGACCTGTGAAAATGATGAGCTAGCTACTCCCTTGATCAGGTTGTGTTATATAAGAGTGTCGTTGCGGCGACTGGAGATTCTCCTGCAGGTTTTGAAGGAGCAGGCTGCAATGCTGGAAGAGAGCCATGTGCTAGGACCTGAGCAGGAGCCCTGCCCAGCAGCCAGCAAGGAGATGGGAACCTCAGTCCTGTAACTGCAAGGAACTGAATTCTGCCAGCAACGGAAATAAGCTTTGAAGAAGACCCAGAGTCTCATGCGAGATCACAGCCCCAGCCAAAAGCCTGACCGCAGCCCGGTGAGACCCTGAGCAGAGGACCCAGCTAACCAGGACTTGGACTCCCGACTCAGAGAAACTGACATGATACGTGTCTGTTGTTTCATTCAAGCTGCTCAGTTTGTGGTCATTTACTGGGCAGCGCTACCCCAGACCAAAGGGATCAAGCTGAAGTGAGACTGATGAATTCACATTTCTAAAAACCATCTAGATCACAGGGCTGCCCACACACACTCAAAACCCACTGAAACCCACTGCTGTCCAGTCGATTCCAACTCAAAGAGACCCCTTAGGACAGGGTAGAACTGTCCCATAGGTAGAACTTCCAAGGCTGTACTCTTGGAAGCAGACTGCCACAACTTTCCTGCAGAGTGGAATGGCTGGTAGGTTCAAACCAGTGACCTTTGGTTCACACCTGGGTCCTTAACCACTGTGCCACCAGAGCTACCCTCTCATGCACACCAACCCCTTGAAAAGGGATTTTGAAAAAAAAATCTACAACCCAAAGTTTCTAAAAGTCTTAACAATAACAACTACTAGTTGGAAATTACTGCTGCTCCAAAACCATATTGTACATAAATGTAAATGTTCTTTCCATTTCATGCAATGAATCTTGGAATTAATTACATTCATTCGAATGTAAATGTTCATTTCATTCTGCTGGTGGGAGTGTGAAACATACAATGACTTTGCAGTAGGGCTCAGTAAGGCAGCCAGACTAAATAAAACAGGGAGATCACAGACAAGTAAGTAAGTACATACATATAAACAGGCCTCCACAAAGTGTTCAAAAACCAAAAACCAAACCCAATGCTACTGAGTTGGATTCGACTCATAGCAACCCCTCCTTAGGTTTCCGAGGCAGTATTACTACGGAAGTAGATTGCCCAACCTTCCTTCTGAGGAGTGGCTGGTGGTGAGCAGGAAAAAAAAAAAAAATGAAATATACCAATTTTTTTGCATTATCCAGTAAAAAAATTATTAAACATTCTTTTTTAAAAAGCCTCACTCCTTTACAACACAAGCCCACCATCAGAATTGGCAAAGAAATTATTTCCCTGTTTTACGTTTAGAATGGTGCACACTAAGTTAGAAAACCATCAACAGTATATTTAAATAAATGTAGAACTTACTTCAACAATCAGGACATTCTAGAAGAAAAAAGAAAGAAAAATTATTACAGTGAGTCAGACAGTGTTTCCAGTTTAAGTCATATCACATCCTAACAAATTAAGGAATTATCAAAATTCATGTTTTAAGATATTTTATTGTATCAAACATTGCTATAGATGAGTGGGCCATCTGTTGGCATTTGGAACTCTTAAACACTGAAAATTTCACTGCAATGCAATTTTTCAAAATAAAATTTGACTCCTGGTCATTTGTTAAGAGGCTTTTATTACTTAAACTGGCAGTTTAATCTTGGACAAGTTATGAAATTTCTCTGGGCCTCAGTTTCCCACGCAAAATAAGAAACTTAAACTAGGTGGTCTCCAACACTAACATCCTAAGAACTGTAATTTGTATGTTGTTGTGTTGTTTTCATATGCCATCGAGTCAGACCCGACTCATAGCGACCCCTCCTTGGGTTTCTGAGGCAGTATCACTACGGAAGTAGATTGCCCCATCTTCCTTCCGAGGAGTGGCTGGTGGGTTTGAACCGCCAGCCTTCTGGTTAGCAGTCAAGTGCCTTAGCCACTATGCTACCAGAGCTCCTGTAATTTGTATAGTAACTCCAAAATAATTTCATTCCTTACTATATGACCTCCATCCAAAAGTCATTTTCTATTGGGCTGAAATGGATCTGAATTTTCTGAATCTATCCACATTCTCAGACTAAAAACTATCGCTCCCTCCCACCATAAACCCTCACCCCAAATTCTACATCTCAGAATTGCACAGCTGAAAGATCCATAAGCAACTGCCTGCAAAGCAGATGTTCTTTTGCCACTTTTAGCATAAAGGCAGCATTTTGCACACTGATTATAATCGCTGCCGCAAGAGTCATGCTGTATTTTGTATTTGTCATTCTCACACTGTCATATAACAAAAACATCAAGATTTTAATGTTCTTTATTTTCTCCTAAGCCAGTGCTTACCAGGGCAAGGCATACCAGCTCCACTGGGTAGAAAGAAAGGAAATAATTGGAAATTTTTTAACCTCACCTTGTTTAATCTGTAGCTTTGCATGTGTTTTACAATATAAGTAATATTAGCACAATAGTTCTTATATATGGAGTAAATGCTCAAAACATTTTTTTTATTGATTGGGTATGCAAATGAAAGTTTGGACAATCACTGCTCCAGGTATTAAAAAGTAAATTTACATGCTTCACTGTCTTGAAGCAGTTTATTGGTAGGGATTAAGAGCTCTTGGAAGCTTTGCCACGTCCACGTGAAGGATGAATGGAGGAAGGCTAGGCCTAACTTTGGGCCACAATGCCCACTGCTTCACTCTCTGAGCCATGCTCAGTGAAGCAGCCCTGCTGTCATAGACAACAGCAGCCTCTGGGGAGCCTATTTTACAAGCAGGAAAACTTTACTTATTGAGAATGGTGCGCAGGATAGTGAGAGAAAATAAAAGACACACCCAAAAATGAGAGACTCCAAAGGCACACAGCAAATAAGGAACATAATTAAGTACTATCATCACACTCAATTTTTATGAGGCCGCAGTAAATTTTAATTAGAATGCAAATATATTAATATATTTTTTAAAAGCCATGTGGCTATTAAAACTACCCAGAGGGACTGAGTAGTTGAACCTGTGGGCTCAGGACCACAGTTGCAGGGGACATCAAGCTCAACTGGCATAACATATTAGACAAAACATTGTTCCACCTCCTACTTTGGTGAGTAGCGACTAGGATCTTAAAAGTTTGCAAGCTGCCATCTAGATGCAACGATGGGTCTCTCCTCATCCAGAGCAAAGAAGAATGAAGAAAACCAAAACTTCATGGAAACAATCAGTCCTAGTGACTGACTGGTACACCATGCGATCTGCAGCCTATATGACTGTGAGACCAGAAGAACTAGATGGTGTCTGGCTACCACTGTCAACCACTTGGAAGGGGATCTATGTAGGAGATCCTGGATGGAGAGGGAGAACAATGTGGAACAAAACTCACAATCATTTGGAGACAGAAAAGAAAAAGGAGGGGTGGGCCAGGTTTGCTGGTCCGATAGAGCCTGGTGAGACTATGGCCCCTAGCTGCTCTTCAGGTCTGGAATTGAACCCATACCTGTGGTTTCCAGCCAAACAAAAGACAGGCATATGAGTTGAACATTTACCTGAGGTAGATACACTCCTTGAAGAGAACAATCATGGGAGAAAGAAGGGCTGCTTATGCACAGGGAGACAGCTTAGGGGCAGGAGTGCAAGGAGGGATGGACATAGGGAAGAGGTAACTATGGGGAGGAAGTGGGAGGGGAGCTGTTGCATTGTGGTAAATTGTGGTCAATGTCATGAGACAAAGTGTATGTGAACTGCTGTATGGAAAGTGAATTTGCTCTGTAAATTTTCACCCAAATCACACACACACACACACACACACACACACACACACAAAAGCCATGGGGCTATTCAGATGAATCCCAGTATAGTGCAAGGAACACCAATACTGGAGTTAAACGTTTTAGGGCTGAAATTTTGGCTCTGTCACCCAACCATTGGCCTTTTTCTTATCTACAGAGAAGGGATGATATACCTTCCTCAAAGGGCAGCCACAAACATGAAATGAGATAATACAGTAATGTAGCAACAGATGGTTAAGAAGTGTAGTTCCCCTTCTTTCCTCCTATGTTGTTGTTAAGTGCCATCGAGTCGTTTCCAACTCATAGCGACCCCATGCACAGCAGAAAGAAACACTGCCCAATCCCACGCCAGCCCCACAATCCCTGCTATACTTGAGCCCATCATTGCACAGTGGCTGAAATGATGGGCTTTCCTCCTATATCAGTTAATTTGTTCCTTTTCAAAAGACACTGAAAAGTTAAATCTTTAGCAAAATTGTATATAATCAATTAATGGACCAACTGTTGTTTCACAGCACCTAGTAGGTGGTTCTCAACCCAAGCACACCTCAAGGATGACACAGCCCCATCAGTAACCATGGCTCACTGCAGCAGTGAGCCACACCATGTGGATCATTTTTCACTTTGAAAACTAGCATGGGATTAGAAGACAGAAAAACTGAATTCTAATCTTGGCTCTGCTACTAAGTAGCTGCACAATCTTACAAATGATACACAGAGAGATTAAGTCACCTACCTAGGGTCAGTCATATAGTTAGGAAGTACTGAGCTGGTATTTGACCTAAAGCTGCCAGACTTCAGAATCCACACTTTCAGCCGCTATAGTATACTACTTCTTCACCTTCAAAGCAACTGTGTGAATCTATTTTTAAAAAGAAAGCTGACTTCCTTCCCATATATTTTCTGAAGGATCCCAAATTAGACTCCTAAAAAGGCAAACAGAAGGACTTGGCGATATGGGCTTTTACGTTTAATGCTGGACTCCACTGCCTCTTTGCTATAGGACCTAAGTAAAGACTCTAAGGGTTAAAGAACTCTACTTTAAATGCATACATGGCTAAAAGCACTATGTGCTATATAAACTGCCTCTCAGTGACTGACTGAAGGAACAGTGTTACTAATTAAATGACTCCAGGCATGAAGTACTTTCAGGAGACATACCTTTCCAGTTAAAGTTGAGAGATCATCTCCACCAATTACTTTTATGTCCCCTGTTGACTGGTCATTCTAGTAAAAATGAAAGAAAAAAAGTATGTATCTACTTGCGTATACATACACAATTTAAATCATCAAATGGCAATTAGAAGATTTAAGAAATTTGCTATCTAATGTCCATAGCATTATGACATATTCTAAATGATATGAATTATAAGAATTATGTTTCTAGAAATGAATGATTAGGTAACTTTCAGCTAGAGATTAGTATAAATTGAAAAGTCCTAGTTAGCCATTAATAATCTGGATGTTTTTAAGAATTCGAAAAATAGGGCACACACATTTTCAAATGGGCAGTACTAGGGCAGCCACCCATCTTCAGTCACGGTCACCTGAGAACCGTGAGGGAAGTTATTAGCATGCCAGTACTTAGTTCTGGCCCTGTACCATTCTTATGAGTTAAGCAAGTTACAGGGGCAGGTCTATATCACACCCAACTCCAAGGATATGTCCCTGAAAGTCTAGCCCAGACCCAGCTCATCTTCAGCACAGTCCAAGAAACCAGGTCTGATCAGTAATCATTTAAGGCATATCTCTTAGACTCCCAGTTTTCCATTACCACAGAGTCCAGTAGAAACTCTTACAGGAGTTTCAAAAGGAAATTCTCAGCATCCACTAAAGTCGGTGATGACAATGACTATAATTTGGCTGTGCTGGATTCAAGACAGAAAACTGGGGTAAAAGAGCAGGTGAAGGCAAGAGCTTAGACTTGCTCTACCAGAGAGCAAACCATGCCACCAAGCTCCAGCAATTACAATGGTGCAGTACCAGCACAGTAACAGACAAAGAACTCAAGGAACAGAATAGAGCCCAGAAACAGACGCAGAAATACATAAGGATTTAGTATATGATAAGGATGGTATTTCAAGTCAGTAAGGAAAAGATGAATTACTCAATAAATGGTGTTTGGTCAACTAGTTATCCACTTGGGGAAAAAAATAAATTATGGTCCCTACCTCACAGCATACACAAAAAGAAATTCCAGATGGATTAAAATCTAAATGTGAAAAATAAAGCCATAAGTACACTAGAAGAAAATGTAGGAGAATATTTTCACATTTTCATTGGAAAGGGTAAAATGTAAGCATGGTATGACCCAAATTGAAATAAAATATCTGTAATAAATGTTCCTGTCACATACTGGGGTCTAACAGTAAGAACTCACAAGGGGAAGGGAGAAAAAAAAACCCACCCGACAGGAAAAAGGAGCCCAAATATATTTAGGCAATTCACAGAAGAGAAAGCCATAGCATATAAAATGATAGCTATGACTGTTTACTTATGCACACTGACAAAACTTAAGTCTGAGTATGTTGGCAAAAGTGAGGGGAAACAAACATTATCACTGGTAAGAATATAAAATGGTAGCCTGTTTTGAAAACAATACAGTAATACCTGTGAAAATTATAAACATGCATGCCATATGACCCCACAATCCCATTTGAGGAATCGATGCTACAAAAACGCTCACAACTTGCAAGGGTACATACAAGGATATTCACTGTATCATTTAAAAAAGAAAATATGGGAAACAATCAACATGTCCTTTAACAGGGAACCATTTAAATTAAGTTTACTCATAAAATATAATACTAAACAGCCATTAAAAAATCTTAATACAGTGATCTATACATACTAGGATGGAACAACGTCAATTAAAAACACCAAGTAGTAGAACAATGTGTTATCTATGACAGCATTTTTGTTCAGCACTAAAAAAATAATCGTAACAACAATCACCTCTGTGTATGAGAATGAGGGATGGTGAGCCTTTTTACTTTTACATGCTTCTACTTTTGTTGTAGGTTTGTATATATATTTCTAATTTTTATGGAGTGTTATTTTTGTAAAACCACAAAGGGACCAACAATGTTGTTTTGCAAAGTAAATATAAGATACGGGTAGTAATTAACTGAAGTATGGCTTGTGGTATCAAAACAAAATACCCATGCACATGACTTTTCATCTTTAAGGAAGCAATTACAAATGTGCCTTATTCTAATTAATTTTAAACACCAGAGTTTTACACATACGGTATTACGAATGGCACCTTCCCCTAAAAACTGTACAAAACTTGAAGTTTTAATGGGAGTAAAAGATGACTGATACTATCAATCATGTTAAATGGTGACATCTTCTGCAGAAATTTGGTATTACAGTCCAAGTGCAATGGACTCCCTTTTATACAGAAGAAAGGACAAGAAGAGTAAAAATCCAAGAACTGAGCAGTGGAGTCATGGCTATGGTGACAGAATAAGAGATGAGAAAACTCCAAGCATACAAGACCCAGATGTACTCCCAGCATCCAAATCCCCATCCTTGCATTTTCCCTCAAAGTTTCTGCTGTCTTTTCTGAGACTTTTTTTCATGGAAAAATAGTCACCTTTTAAATGAAGGGTAATAAAGACGATCCATTTGAGAGCAATGTATATCCATCACTGAACGTTTGGATCAAAGCTTCTATAGAAGAATCTTGATCAAAAAAGGAAAAATGCAGAACAGAATTTCAAATTCTCATGGATTCCAGACTTTCTGGAGCCATGGAGTCTGGATAAGCCACTGAAACTAATGCCCTGAGATAATCTTAAACCAAAAATATCCCCTGAAGTCTTCTTGAAACCAAACAAAAGTTTAGCTTAACTGGTAAAGAATGTCTGCCTTGAGCATTGTGGTCTTTTATGACCTATCTACATGGGATCACATTAACAGCAACTGGAAAGATTACACAGGACCCTTAGGGGCAATGAGTTTATGTTCATGGGGGAGGAACAGTTAGAAAAGGAGGGGGAGAGTGGTTGCCCAATTCAAAGAATGTGATCAATGCCCCTGAACTGTACGTGTCGAAACGTTGAATTGGTGCATGTTTTTCTGTGTATATTCTCAAAAAAAAAAAAAAAAAAGTAACAGTATAATCCACTGCTGGAATACTAGTGTTAAGTGCCCCACCTGTACACAAATGGCATCTGTGGATCAGTAACCCCAGCTGGGTAGCCAGGAGAATTTCCCTTCCTCCTTCCTGGTAGTCTGGAACAAGTCTGCTACCTTTCTGCTTCATTATATTAGAACGTCCCTTATGTGCTTCATCTTTAATTACGGTGAAGTCTGGGGCGACAGGACTGGCTTGGCTGAGGGGAGCATCCTCCAGAGTGGCTCTTCCCTACATCCCATCTCCTCGATCCAGACAGCCTAACCTGTCCTTAACTCAGAGTGTCACTGTCAACTACATAAAACTGAAGAGAAGCTCTTTGGGTCTGCAAATACCTACCATTAGGCAGTGCACATTTGCCTGTGGTACCATTTTGTCTACCTCTCTTGAGTGGAAATAAAAAATGAGAAGGGAAATAGGGGAAAAAGAACTTATTTATTCCTATGTGTTCATCCATAGGAATCTGGGAAAGCTCTAGGCAGCACTAAGAACTGCAGCTCAGTACATGAAGAGAGGATGGGCCAGAAAAGAACTGTTTGGGACAAATAGGTAGACTAAGGGCACAGAAGAGGAAGCAGAGAGGCCAGTCACCAAGGCTGGGTCCTCAAGGAGGTATGCCTGGGAGTGTCACTGAGCTAAGAAGTCCTGGCTCCACATCCCCTTAGCAGCTCAGCCTTTTGTAGCTTGTTGTTTGCAGTGCACTTCAGATCATTCTTTGAAGGCCCCAAAATGACAATTTCTTATCGGGAATCACTCATTCCCTCCACTCCAGTGAGGCACCAAGTCTGCCACACTCACATTTCCTTTTCCCCTCACAGTCCTCTGCCCTTTACCTATTTCCCTGCACCCTGATCAAGTATCAGCAAAAGTGAGAGTATTAGAATGATACACTTTTAGAGCCAAACTGCTCCTCAGATGACAAAAGGGAAGACATCCCATTTTCTAAAACATATATGGAGGAAAAAAAATCAGTCTGGAGGATATGCCCCTAGGGCAATTTTACTTATCTGTATTTTAAGAGTTCTTTAAAATGAAAGGACAAATATTGTATTAGTCCGTTATTGTAAAAGTTAAGGAAAGGTTTATCTATAGAAGGAAATTTT